CTCAATTTGTTGCAGTGTTCAGGGGTGTCAAAGAACCCGAGCTGTGACTCTAAAGAAGAGACGGCGAGTGGGACATACACATCGGACGCTCTGACAATGCCGGCTCAGGTTCCTGTGAGTTTGCCATGGCGACCAGTGGGCCCTGACAGCAGCGGGGATCACGGTCTTGCAGAGGAAGGGTGTGTATGTGTGTGTGTGTAGTTGAGGGGGTGTGGGGTTATTGGGGGACACACGCCAGATGCCTTGGGGAGACGCCCTTCAGCTCACCAGCTGGGAGAGGCTAAACTGCCCCTCACGCGACGGTTTTCGGCCTTAACGGATTAGAGTGTTTGTTTACGGCACACTTTGGCTATCATACGCTCACCAACACAAAAACAATGATAATATAAAATAGCGCTTTTCAGCTGGTTTTGTTTCAGGACACAGATTTTACAGTAGACGTGATGTGGTGGTGACACAAAACTGTAGCAAAATTGCTTATCGTATAAAAAAAATGTAAATGGTCTTAAAGTTACCAATCGAATCAAAATGGTCAATTCTTATTTATGGAGTATTGGAATTCTATTATAAATGAAATTCATTCATAAATAAATTCTTCCCCTTACATTCTTAATAGTAAAGATTACAATAAGGGTTTTCACGGCGATGCCATAGAATAACTATTTTGGTTAAATTTTTAAATAAAAAAAAACAAAACTTTTTGGTTCCCCAAACAACCTTTTAGCAAAAGTTTCTTAAAAGAACCATTTTTTTTACTTAAAGAACATTTTAAAAATACAAAGATCCTTTTTCCGCTCTAAAGAACTTTTTGTGGAATGGATAGTTTCCAAAGACTATTAAGGTTCCTCATGGAACCATAGATGCCAATAAAGCCAAAAAACTGTAATTCACATGAGATTGAAAAACGACAATGATCTAATCGGTTCCCGATGGACAAAATTAAGTCCCGCCCAACATTTTTTTTTCTCATTCAAGAAGCCATTTCTTTTGGATATGTGTCAAAAAAGAGCAACTTACGTTATGCTTCATGCTGACTTTAAAATCAAACATTGACATTTATCAATATTAGCCTAAACATAATGACATATGAATTCGATAGTTTCACGTTCCCAACATTTAATAATTCATGCTAATGAAACACAGCCTTTGCAAACCATGTTCATCCTGCAAACTATATTTAATATAGTCTACGATGCATTTATTTGACCTTGCAAAATTTAATTCATGGTTCTCGAAAATAAGAGCATTTCATGCAAACTGTCCATGTTAGCATCCCTACCAAAATGCTGCTAAGTTTGATTTTGAAAACAGCATGAAACTTACTGTATCTATTTGCATGTTATCTTATTGTGAATGTAAACAATTCACCAGTGCATTTTTTGACCTCGTAATTAGAATGTCACAATGTAACCATGGTGACATATTCCGTCCGCTTAAGCTCGGTCCCTTTACAATCTTCTGCAAGCTCCAGTCCAATCAGCAACTGATGGATATAACCAAGTCTCCACTCTATATTTTCCGTTTTGATAATCCATTATTACACTTGAATGTGCGTCACAATATGGGAGAAAAGATCTGTTGCTACTTCTGAGACTTTAACAAAAAATATATGCAAAGCCTTTTTCTTTTCCTGCCTAAAAATGACAGCAAATGTATTTTGCATTTAGCATTGTTTTGATTCTGCCACATTTGATTAGAATTGACCTGCGACCTACTTTTGTGTCGCAATCCACCATTTGAGAACCGCTGATAATGCTCAGTTTAAACCCAACCTCTTTGTTATTGACTAGCATCACAACAAAGACGCAATGGACCGACTGGGTAATCTCTGCAGGCAACTGTGATGTGATTTCAGTCTCACATTGACCTGTAGGGGTTGAGTAGTCTGTTTACACCCAAAACTACATCAGCTGCACCTGAATCTGCCTTATACTTCAATACTACATCTCTGCTAATCTCAATGCTAAAATGCTAATACGTTGTTTTGCAATAACCGCTTCAATTTACACTAAAATGATCAAACATGCATCTTATACTGTACAGAGGACCTAAAGAAGTTCGTAAATGTATTACCATCTCTGGGACGCGAACATCTGCATCTGCTGGAGGACTCCGGTACTGGCGGCTGAGTTTTGGCATAATCTCAGCTGGCAACTGTGAGTAGTGTGTCACCCCTCTCACAGGCGCTGCTGGGGTTCTGTCACACACAGCACTTGCACACCATGACGAAATAACACTGGTCTCCATCGGACAGAAGAGAGCAACCTGTGGAAAAGAAGTCAAAGTATAATAGAATTAAGCTGAAATCTGTGGCAAGGCTGACATTTAAATGTTTAAAGTGTTTGTTATTCATTCATAATATTATTAGCTCACAGACCAATTCCTTACTACAAGCCATCCCTTCACCTGTGAGAACTTTCTGATGTTGGTGATACTGCATCAGGAACTGATTGGATGATATCTAGGAGCCATCAGTTCTTGATGCACTCTCTTCAGCATCGAAAGAGACACCCGCGAGCGAGTCTTTTAACTTTTACAATCCAGTACATGGATGTCAGTGTACAGTATTAAAGTGTAAGTGAGATGATACTGTAATTGTTTTGAACAATTTATATAGATATTAAAGATGCTGAATGTAATTACCTATCCGCTGGCGGCAACAAACAGAATTTATAGGCCTAATCTGTTTGTTTGAGCGGCCAGATATAGTAATGTTGCTGTATTATTGCTGTGGTTATTTGTCTTACTTGTAGAGTTAAACACATCATATGACACATTGTACATTGTTTTGTGCTTTACTTTTTCATAACGAGTTTTCCACTGTTTTCAATAAAGTTATGCTTTACATTTTTTCTGAATATAAATTATATCTGCTCTTCATATGACACCAGAACTTTAATTGAGAGACATACAGACAAACCAAAAATTTGTCAGAAACCAGATATAATTTGTGATATTTTTTTACTAGTGGGTGCAGGACACTATAGATTATTATAAGTGAGGATAGCAAAATAAAGTAAACTGTGACATATTATACCCAAAAAGTCTTCATACAGTGAACTATAAAAATTTGGGACCAAAAACTATTCAGACACTTTGACCTGACCATGTTTTGCTGAAGTGTTTTTTTCTTGAATTGCTAATGGAACTTTTTACACCAGAGACTAAACAAAATTAAGCATTGCTTGGTAGTTGGTTGACGTAACCTGGTATTATCTAATTGTGTACTTAAATTTCAGTCATTCTTGAGACATGGGACAAAACAGGTCCAGCAAGGGTAACTGCTATTAGGTTTAAAAATAAAAATATTTTCAATTTTAAATGTCACGAGGGATTAATAATAGAATGTATTTAACACAATTATCACCTTCAATTTAATTTTCTCATTATTATATCAAATCTGTGTTTCTTAATGTCCTCTCACTACATCTAAAACAGTGTGTCCACAGAGAAGGGTTCAATCATTCATATGCAATAAAATGGATAAAAATGTTTTTTTTTTTAATGATGAAAAAGAGCTTGTTTTATCAAAAGCAACACTTAATAATATCTCCTATCAAAGCAAGGTTGTTTTTTAATGACACATGCATGCTTAATAAGATTTTAAATTTGCGTCCCCACTTTTTGTCAACACCGTCAGACATTCAATAAAATGTAATAATATCAGGGAATATCAGGGGCAGCTGTCACTCTAAAAGACCCCCTAATTGTATTCTCCTGAAGCAGGTTCCAGTAGCATCTAGCATCAACAGAAAAAAATAAAATGGCTACTACATGAACTCCATTGATTTTGTGAAAGAAATGCGAAATTTGTCAACACCGTCAGATGTCACCACCATAAGATCTTGTGTTCCAATGATATATCAAAATACTTCAATGTGACTCTTGAATAAAAGCTTTATAAACAATAACATACTCACTGTTTGTTGTGTTTGTTTTAATACAGTAATTGACTGATTCAATGTATTTGATAGTTAAAATGACTACAAATTCAGGTTTTCGTCAACTCCGTCAGTTCTGTCACCTCCGTCAGTTGAATATTTTGATAATATTTCATTATGATATTTTATATTTGTTGTGGAATTGTCGGTCACATGTGAAAGTGTAATATGTCTGCTAACACCAGAATGTGTTTTGAAATGTTCACTTGAATGCAGTTAAAGATAAAGCTGAAATTATATTACACAGTCCAAGGTAAAAAAAAGCACATTTTGTTAAAAAAGAGAAAAGTTGGGAGGTTGTATCAAAGCATAGCTCAGTAGCTTAGTACATATAAGATACATAAATGCAGTTTCATTTGTCTGAGTACAAGGTTTTATTTTTTTCAATTTTGCACCCTGTTTTGTCCCACTTCTCAAGAATGACTGATTTAACAGCTGACAGCTTTTAACCGAATTCATTACATACCTTTCTATCAAAGTTATCTGACATGATCGAGATTTTTGTTCTGACACAGTTTAACTCTGAGTTCTTGTCATAGTTTATTACCACTTTCTAAACTATACCGAATAAACTGTAATAATGTGAGAAATTTTGAAGGTGTCTGAATAAATTTAGGTTGGACAGTACCATCGTTCTTATTTTTATACATACAATAGCCCCATAAAGTATTTTAACTTACAGTTAGCCACACTTAAAATGTCAGAATCTCACTGCATTAGAGGATAACATATCTATAAAAATTAGTTTTGTTTTGTTTTTAAATGCCATTTGGTTAGACATTTTACATTTTAAGAGTGGCCTCGATATTATGCGGTCAGTCAGTTTTTGCCTAAGAAATGGTACAGCGCTCTCTGCCGGTTACCTTCATTCATTGAAACAGTCTGAGCTGTAGAGGCCTGTGGAGTAAACATTAAAATTCTGAATTTTTATATAGTTGAGCCTGGTTGGTATATGTAATACAGAGAAAATACATTTTATATTAACGATTGAAATAGCAAAAAGATGCACTGCATCTGTCACGAGTTTAACAACTTTAATGAGCGCTACAAGTAGCGTGTGCTGCTGTTTATTATCCTAGTGGCCACCAAATGCCATTACCACTGATCAGCACATGTAGTAACTCCGCTTCACTCTGCTTTGAGGTCACTTTTAAAATTGTGTGCCGTTTGAGAGCGTCGAGATTGTAGCATTGTCCTTCAAACAACATCAGTTGAACAATTTAAGAGTTGAAAAACAGCAGCTCATATGAGCTCGAAGGGAGGCCGAATCAAACGCACCAAAAATGTGCGTAATTTGGATTCGCGTGATGCGCCTTCACTAGCGCAATCAATAATCGATGAGCAGCCAAATATTATACCTGCCGGGCGACAGTTAGAGAGGACACCTCCATCTAAAAGTGAAAGAGTAACAACAAGCCCCCCCAGCAAACCAGATGGTTCTCCAACGTCAGAACAAGTGGTCAAAGATGAGCCATGCGGCCAGGTAAACATACAAACAAACACAACGATGGAAAAAAACAGCATATGCTGGTTAGGTATGTTTTGATGCTGGTTTATGCTGGTCCTTTACCAGCATAAACCAGCAAAGGACCAGCATAAACCAGCATCCCAGCGTCAAAACATATACCTAACCAGCATATGCTGTTTTTTCAACAGGGGTATCAGTGGGCCATTCGTGTTTCTCATATACAAATACAAATGTTTATGGATATATAGCTTTTAATACACATTTTCTTTTCGTTTATTCATTTTTTTATCACGGTAATATTTTGGCCTGACCAAATGTCCTGAATATTTGGGCCTCATGCGTTTCCAACATATAAGAAATTGATTGATAGGCTTAATCCATATGAGCAAAATTCTAAATATTATTTCTACTCTATGGCATAAGAATAATTAAGTAACTCTGAGATTAAACAAACAAACCAAAAAAATATTATGTCTGAATATTTGATATTATTAAAAAAATAATGTACTGTAATAATATATTATTATAAGTCATAATTATTAAGGTTATTCAACGTTGTAATTTTTGGGAGTCTTGTTTAGTTGTTAAGCTACAAATTTCTCACTTGAGAATGAGAAAAGTTTAGTTATTAATCAAATAATACACTTGTTGTTTTTTTACAACCCCACCAAATTCATTTAACTTATTAAATTGACAGTTGTCGATATCAGTCAAAAAAGAAAACTAAACATTTACATTAATAAATATGAAATGAAAGCTAGAATTCTCTCTCTCTCTGGTCTTTCAAAATTTTAAATGTATTAATTTAGCATAGGATGAAAGTATGCAATTTATTAAAACATTTATTTTAAATGTCATATATTTAGTAATCACTTCATAAAAGTTCTTAACGAGTTAAAATTTATTTTCAAGGAAATAACTAAACCTACTAAAATCTTTCCAAGGAAATAACTAAGCCCCTTTCTTGCAATGGATTAAATGAAGTTCTCCAGCACCCTAAAGTTAAAGATGAGAGGAAGTCGGTCAAGAGGTCTAGTTCTACCGCTGCATCAGGTGATTTCATATACTCACTGACATAATTAAGCAATCATATTCACACATCTCTCTATGTTCTTATATTTGTTAGTAATGGTACCGCACCACATATACTCACTGTTTCTTGTTCAGTATGATTGAATTGCTTTAATATTCACTTTCATGACTGCCCAGCAACCCCTGGGAATCCTGATCCTGATCCTGAAATCTTCATCCAGGGAATGCAGGGATACAAATGGACAGACACAGACCTGGAGTTTGTCTATCAAACCAAATGGAAAAAGCGAGTTCAACTGGCACAGGTCAATGAATGCATATTTTTTGGATGGAATACTAGTGTACTGCATAGTATACACTAAATACTGCGTACTATTTTAAAAATTACTACATGTTATGCAGTGTTAAACATTTCCAATTATATCAATTGCTGTCCAGTTATCATCTCAGAAAAATCTCAGCTTAATTGCCATATGTTTATTCCAATATTTACAACAAATTTTGTTTAAAACCACCGTCTATATTACCTATTAATTTGCATATTGAAATTTGTGCAAATATAGTAGGCCACCTGCTATTATGTACACAAAAATTTTGCATATTGCACACGGTGTACATACAAAATGTCACATCCTCCTTATTTTCCCATTTATGCTTAAACTGATCATTGTCATTAACATTTCCTTTTCATCTTGAGAATTAAATTGAACCAAGAGGACATTTTCATGACAATTTGGTTTACAGCAAGAGTTAAGCGACTTGCAGAAGTCTCTGAAGAGCATGAAACAAATGCGGGACATGGGCTTTGCTGCACTTGACAAAATACAAACAGAGCTTTCTAAGGTAATACATGGTGCTTTTATAATGCATTTTGTCACTTCATATCCACCAATTTCATAATGTGATGCTTGTGATCTCAACACCTGTCTGATCTCAATATTTGTGGCTCTGGTGTTTGAGGTGGCGTCGTGTCAACGTTTACAGCAAATTTCCATGGAAATACTTCTGAGGTCCCTGAGCTCTAGTCAGCTGGAAGGGCTTGATCTTAAAGCTCTCCTTGCCAAGCTAAAGGTCACTGATGTGCACTGCACTACTGCTGAGGAGAAGGCAGAGGTCAGCAAACTCAAGACAGAGCTGGAAAAAGCACAAGTATCGAGGTATTATCCAGACAGCTCGCACACAATGAAAGAATGGCTTTTCTAGTGGTACTTACCCATGCAAAACTCACTAGCATGATGCTAAAATGTTGCCATGTGGTTGCTGGAGTGTTCTGGGTGGTTTCTTAGCCCCAAGTCTTCTGTGTCTCAACTTGTATGTCTGTAAGATGTTTTGCCAGTTGTATTGTCCACCAGAAGAAAACCGTTTGCTCAGTCGCTAATTTATCAGTTTCACATGTCTTCTCAACATGCTAAACTTGTTGCTGCAGATTAGCAGTGTGTAGATTTTTAATACATATACATTCATTTTGTTTGCAGAGAAAAGGAGGAGCTACTCATGAAGGACATTGACAGCTATAAGGAGAACATCAAACAAATCAAGGTAACTGCTAGCAAGAGCACATCCTCAGTCATTGTTGGAAATGTGTATATTTTGAACGTTTCGCACTTAAGATGATCCTTTTTTTTTGTGGGAAGGTAAACGTAGATACGCTAAAAGCAGAAATATCTGCTCTGGAATCCCAGCTGTCCGGTAAAGAGGTTAGTGGATCACTATTGACAACCGTTTGCTGTCCTAGCTGATACTTTTAGTACTTAGCAGACATTCAAACAGAATGAAGGCCTGTTACGACAATGACAATAACTATAATGGCAACTATCATTTTAATAATCATTCTAAATTGGAGGAACTTTCCACACAGCTGTAACGCTAACAGAGGAATTATATCATTGGAAACACTTATAGAATGTTATTTTCCAGCTAATGAATGATAAAAACATTGACAGCCAATCAAAATCCACCTGACTTTGAAGAGTTTGAGCTGTGGCAGACGACAAAACTGCAGCACGCGCTTATATAACAAAACATGATCCTCTGTCTATGAGAACGCTAATATAGCTATCGCTCTTGGTATGAACGGGCCTTTAATTTATACCTACACATTTTTAGTCAATGAAATTTGCTTTCAACTCTTGTAGGAGACACCACAGTCAACTAAACCACGGCGAAAAGGCCACAGAGGCACCAAACCCTCTACTGCCCCTAAACCCCCTTCAAACCCCAAACTTTCCACCTCTTCTCCTGCTCCAAAAACCTCCAAACCTTCTCCTGCTCCAAAAACCTCCAAACCTTCTCCTGCTCCAAAAACCTCCAAACCTTCTCGTGCTGATCCAAAAACCTCCAAAGCTCCTGCTGATCCAAAAACCTCCAAACCTTTTCCTGCTCCAAAAACCTCCAAACCTTCTCCTGCTGATCCAAAAACCTCCAAACCTTCTCCTGCTGTTCCAAAAACCTCCAAACCTTCTCCTGGTGATCCAAAAACCTCCAAACCTTCTCCTGCTCCAAAAACCTCCAAAGCTCCTGCTGATCCAAAAACCTCCAAACCTTCTCCTGCTCCAAAAACCTCCAAACCTACTGCCACCCTGAGAGCCCAGACTGCGTCCAAACCTCCTGCCTCACCTCCTGCGCTAAAAACCTCCAAAGCTCCTGCTCCAAAACCCTCCAAACCTACTTCTGCTCCTCTTGCACCAAAACCCTCAAAACCTCCTGCCACCCTAAAAGCCCAGACTGCCTCCAAACCTACCACTGCCCCAGAAGCCCCGGAGGGTGATGTCAGAGGCCTCCGCCGCTCGAAAAGAATCGCTGGTAAGAAAAAGTAGAGAACAATCTACTCAGAAATGCTCCTGATCAGTTCATTCCTTCAGCTCAGGAAGTTGTCTTCATATGTTCTTACTCCCATTCAGGACATACCTCTTTTTGAAAACGTTTTAATTTGCAATGATGTAATTTACAGTAGGCTTTTAGACTTGGAGTAGTTTGGTGCCCTCTAGTGGATATGTTTAGTTTAGCATTTAGGGACACTCAATGGTGGAAATCAGATGTAATTCTGTCTAATGGTATAACCACACATTAATGTAGTTTTTCGATACTTCTCCACATGTTAAGTGTTTTTTTTCTTTGGAGATGAATAAACATTTGTTTTCAACCCTCTATAAAGCCATCTGGGTTGTGTGTTGTAGAGGGAACATCTAAGCGTTGTCATATTCAGTGTTGGGGATTAATTAGTAACATTACATAATTTAATTACAAAATAAATGTTTTAACAAATTTTAACAATTTACTCCTGGAGCCATATTGAAATTCCAATATCTCTGGAACTGAACCATATAGGGCCTTAAAAATGAAGATGCCAAAAGGAAAGTCTCTTAAGACCCAATATCTAAAAGGGCATTAAGATATCTTCAGTACTTCTTGAGTTACAGGCATGCAAACTTTGGATGAAAAAATTGAAAAGTGCTGTTTCCCCATTTTTGAATGGTCACCATTGGCACATAATGCTACAAAGATTGCTAAAGTCAACAGATTTCACTAATAGACCTACCAATCTGTGTAAAATTAACATTATGATGCTGCTGTCTTTCTGAAGTAATTTTTTAACCTCTTGTAATTTGACTCTGAATCACAGGTGAAAATTACAAAATAGTGGATTACTCAGTAAATATTCATCCATGACATTTAATACTCTGGCTTTCATCACTATACTTGTCTGTCTGTCTTCAGAAAAAATATTAGCAAAATCAAAAATTTGAGCCGGGGACCTCTGGTTGAGTTGACACGGAATGACCCTACAGTTACTTATGAAAATGGTAACGATTACAAAGGAGGTTACACTCTTAATAATAAAGGTGCTTCAAAAGGTTCTTCAAGCGATGCCATAAAATAACCATTTTTGGTTCCACAAAGAACCATTCAGTCAAAGGTTCTTTAAAGAACCTTTGACTGAATGGTTCTTTGTGGAACCAAAAATGGTTATTTTATGGCATCGCTTGAAGAACCTTTTGAAGCACCTTTATTTTTAAGAGTGTACCTCTGATATATTCACACGCACACAGATTTGATTGATTTCTTTACCAAACTGCATCGACTGCTATAAAATGAGACCCCAATGTTTCAGGAGTTTATGACATCTGCTTATTTGATACGTTTTATTTCCTGTTTGGGTTGATGCACACATATGCTTTATTTTTTTTTAAGATTAACTGTTTTTTTTCCAAGGCATTGTTAAATGCCAGTGTTTCCTGTCACAGCTATGCAAAAATTATTTCAAAAACTGTATCATAGCTACTATTTCTTGTTAAGATTTTTAATCCGTATTTAACCTCAGAACGATCCCAAAGTAAGAAGAGGTGCTAAAGTCTGATTTAGTTTTGGCTGTTTTAAAATGAAATGATTCTTTTAATTCTAGTGAAGTAATCAAATATAATCAGTTACATTAATAAAGTAATTGAAATAGTAACACTACTTATTACAATTTAAATAGGGTAACTTGTAATCTGTAACCTATTACATTTCCAACACTGGTCATATTACATGCAACTCTCACAGATAAATTTCCATTCTGCTCAAACCGCCAGTGTCTAACTGCTAAATAACGTCCTACTGGAAAATCCAGCTTAAAGGGGTAGCTGTGTTTGGGAACATACTGATTTCTAGCTGGTCCAAGCTGGTAGACCAACTTGGAACAGCAAAAAAAACAGCTGGTCATACCAGTTCAGAGGGTTCATGCTGGTTTTGGGGGCACATATGCTTAAACTGGATTTTCCAGCAGGGGCCTGCTTTTGTCTACAAACTGTTGGTTTAGCTATGTGGACCAATAATCCTAAAAAATAATATTTGGAAATTTAAATTAACAATGCTTTTCTATTTTTTTCTATCGCAAATGCATGGTCTGGGTGGCTGTGTTCTTGCTGGTTGATAGCATGTTTCTGTTTGGTTGATAGGGTGTTCTAGGTTGTTTTTAGGGTGTTGCTTTGGTGTTCTGGCTGGTTGACACTTGCCAGTGCATTGCTTTTGCTTTGCAATTAATTACATGTTCTGAGTGGGTTAGGTTAGTGGTATCTTGGGTTTTCTGTCTAGTTTCTAGGGTGTTGCTTGGCTGTTCTGGGTGGTTGCCAGTGTATTACTCTGTGATTAAAGGGGTCATATGAAATGACAATGCTAAAATAACATTATTTGGTGTATTTGGTGTAATTCAATGTGTTTACATGGTTTAAGGTTCAAAAAACACATTATTTTCCACATACCGTACATTATTGAGCGCTGTGTGCTCTGATTGGCCAGCTATCCAGTGCATTGTGATTGGCCAAATACCCGAATACCTCAAGTGTGGAAATGTTACGCCTCTTACCATATCTGGAAACACACACAGCATCTCCATGACATGGCAGCGGCAACAATACTACAGTGAGTTACACCTTCTTTCTTAGCGTAAACATTTGGGCGGTGTTAAGCAAATATTCCCACACAGTGACGTAGACGTGGGGTAGAGGACCGACCTGAGCCCTATGGGTCCCGAAATACTTTCGGGTTTCGGGTGGGGTTCGAGTTAATGTTTAATGAATAGCTTCGGGTTCGGGCTCGGGTTTATAGCTAAACTAAAACTATATGCAGGCTACGCTACTTTCATAGACGCACGCACACACATTATAGCACACAACAACACAGCACGGAAACTTTTATTGGTAAAATAGCTTCGACAGGCTACTGATTCAAAACATATTTCTCTGCAATGAGGGGGTAAAATCACTGTTTTTGAAGGAACTAAGCCTCATTACTTGTAGAGAGACGCGCAGACTCAGGTTCACACACGCAACTTTCATCTCTCTCGCTCTCGCGCTCTCTCTCACGCGCTAATTAAAATAAATGCAATCTTACCGCACTGCATCTCTGTGACTGATTTAAAGCAGGTCGAATGCTAATGAGCCTTAACTGATGAAAAATTACCATAATTTGCATGATGGAAGAATTATCGTCTTGTCATATACAACCATTCTCTCGGCAGAATTTATGTGACCGCTGCACCTAATGTACGTAAACTTTCATAACTAGTAAGTGTTTTTTCTTTTGCCTTGTTAACTGGCTGAGCCTTAATTAATCTGTTTCTTTACATGTATTTGTTTACTGACCGTTGCATGCAATCGTGAAATACAGCATTTTTTTTTAATTGGCTATTCGTTGGGAAAAAAAAAAAAAAAGATGTCGGGTTCGGGCTCTAAATTTCACTGTGCCGCTCTGGTCAGGTCAGACGATCTCGGGTACGGGTAAAATCTTAACTTTTATAAAGAATAACACATTTTATGGTGGTTGTTTGCACATTGCTATTTGGTTGCTGCATTTTAGGTGGTTTCTAAAGCCACACCAAAAAAGTGTAACAGCTAATGCTAACACTGTGACTTTGGTGGTACGCAGGGAAGGAGACCTTTGTATGATTGCCTCACGTGATCCAAGTTAGCTGTTACGGTTTTTCCAGTGGTAAGTACTACTGACCCTCGCATCTCCCAGTAATAAGACGATCTCTGGTGGTTTCTTGAAGCTGGCTAGGTAATTGCTTTCTCTGTGGTTTCTTAGTGGTTGATAATGTTCCAGGTGGTTTCTATGGTGTTTTGGGTGGTTGACTTGACCTGACCTGACAAGTCACCTTTTATTTATATAGCGCTTTTAACAATACAGATTGTGCCAAAGCAACTGAACAGCATTAATTAGGAAAATAGTGTCAATAATGCAAAATGACAATAGTAAACACTAATTTTTCAGTTAAAGACAGTTCATCATTCAATTCAGTGGTGTCATCATCCAGCTCAGTTCAGTTTAAATCGTATCTTTGCAACCAAGTCAACGATATCGCTGGAAATGAAGTGTCCCCAACTAAGCAAGCCAGAGGCGACAGCGGCAAGGAACCAAAACTCCATCGGTGACAGAATGGAGAAGTCAGGTCATTGCTAATGTATGTTATTGATTAGTTGTTAGTACAATGCTAATTTAATTCTTGGTTGCTTACCTCCTGAGTCCTTAAATGTAAACTGTTGGCTTGTCTGTCACTATTCCTACATTAAGTGGACTGTATAATTGAAGTAAAGGAGTGAATTCATTCAGTGTGATGCTAATAGGCAATCTCTTGCAGCTAGCAATTATAGGACTGAATAATGTCCACTTTATGGACACCATGAGACTTTTTCAGCCATTTTAACGTATCCCTTGTAAAAATTGTAAATCTGAACTCATTTGTCGCACAAAGGTTTTTTTTTTTTTTTTAAATAGTGATAGT